AGGAAATAATTTGCAGGCCATTAAAAATTTAAAGGGGCACTCTCCAACCATTTCTCTCTCAAAGATCTTGGCCCCCTACACTTTTTCTTGGGCATTGAAGTAGTTCCTCACCCGGATGGCTTATTTCTTTCTCGGACCAAGTACATAATGGATGTCTTGCAGAAATTCTCTATGCAGGAATGTCACGGTGACTTTACACCTTTGTCTTCCACAAGTTCACTTCGATTGAATAATGGCTCCTCTTCTACAGATGCATCACAATATCGAAGTGCAATTGGCAAACTCCAGTACCTTGCATTTACTAGACCCGACATATGTTTTGCTGTCAATAAGCTCTCCCAATTCATGCATCAACCATCTCATACACATTGGAAAGCAGTGAAGCGCATCCTTTGGTATCTCAAATCAACTATCCATCACGAACGTCTTTTTCGTCGTGACTCGACTACTACCATCAATGTCTATCCCGATGCCGATTGGGCAGGTGACCAAGATGATCGCACCTCTACTTCTGCTTATGTTATCTATCTTGGTTGGTCGTCAAAGAAACATAGAACAGTTGCACGATCTTCAACGGAGGCTGAATATCGTGCTGTTGCTAAGACAAGTTGGCTCACCAATCTATTTAAAGAGCTTCGGATTTCTCTTGAGGATGTACCAACTATCTAATGTGACAACATTGGAACCACCTACTTGTGTCGAAATCCAGTTTTTCACAGTCAAATGAAACACATAGCCATTGATTTTTATTTTGTTAGAGATCAAGTTCAGCGTCGACAACTTCGCGTAGTCCATGTTCACTCTGCTGACCAGCTTTCCGATCCACTTACAAAGCCCTTTATCCAAAGAGCAAACCCAATGTGTTGTCTCCAAGTTAGGGGTCGTTCCACCACCCCCTAACTAATGGAGCTAAATGAGGATAGATTGAAAAATTCAAGCACTTAGGGTTTATAGTTGCAAAGACTCCAATTGACGTGAATCTTGCATTAGCAAAGAACAAAGGCCAAAGCATATCACAATTGGATTATGCTCGTGTGCTGGAATGCTTAATGTACATCATGAATTGTACACGACCAGATATAGCTTGTGCTATAAGTAAATTGAGCCGATACACGAGCAATCCAGGTCAATCTCATTGGATGGCAATGAAACGAGTTTTGGGATATTTAGAACATACCAGGGCTTTGCTTTGCACTACAGTAAATATTCTGCGGTGATTGAGGGATACTGTGATGCAAATTAGATCACCGATTCAACTGATTCTAAGTCCACAAGTGGATATGTGTTCACTATTGGTGGAGGAGCGGTATCTTGGAAGTCGTCCAAACAAACTTGTATCGCAACGCTGCTCCTTGGATTTTGGATATTGGTGCCTCACATCATATTACTGCTGATCCTCAGATCATAGCCTCTCCACATGAATACACAGGTTCTGAAGAAGTTTCAATGGGTGATGGTAATGGTATTCCGATCACCCACACTGGTTCTACTACACCAAACACTCCACTTTGTTCTTTTTCATTACATAACATTATATGTGCTCCATCTATTAAAAAGAATCTTATATCTGTTTCAAAATTTTGTCAACAAAACCAAACATCTATTGAATTCTTTCCTTCGTCTTTTGTTGTGAAGGCACTGACTACGGGGGCACCGCTATTACAAGGCCAAAATAGAGATGATTTGTACGAATGGCCAAAGCTTACAACTTTCAGCACATTCATCTCCAACAGCCTACACGACAAATACCTCAAAAGTTCCTTTATCTTTGTGGCATCGTCGTTTAGGACATCCTAATATTCGTCTTCTGAAGTTTCTCTTAAGCAATCATCAGTTGTCTTATTTTGATAATTTTCAATCTTGTAATTCATGCAATTGCAATAAAAGCCATAGGACTCCTTTTTCACAGAACTCTTTGTGTAGTTCAAAGCCCTTTGAAATACTTTACACAGATGTTTGGGGTCCTTCACCCGTTCTCTCCCTGGATAAAAGCCTTTATTACATTATCTTTGTCGATCAGTTTACCAAATACATTTGGCTCTATGCACTTA